ACATTTTGAATTCGCTGTGAGAAACAGTAACAAGTTGCTGTATAAGGACGCAGGTTGTCGGATTCGGTAGGCCTAGTTGTAGTCCTTTAGCAGCAATTTGTTCGTTTTTATCATAGGTTCTCAACTCGAGGTCCACTTCCCGGCAGAGTTTAACTCCAACCCTTCAAATCAAACCCTTCTGAACAAGCTAATCAATTTCTTCGGTATTACTAGAAAGTTACTAGCAGGCGAGTTTGATCAAGGTTGGAGCTAAACTTTGCAGGAAATTGGACCCCGAGGGCCAGAGTTAAGAACTATAGTTAGTTTTTGGTTCCCAGAACGTTCCAGAACTAATTATTTTAACATCCTATAATCAATCTGAGAGGAGCTGCCAAGGCTGATTTTTGATAGTATTTTCCCCAATGGAGGTCTTTGTCCAGTTATTTGCATTTAGAGATAAAATGCAGATGCTTGTGAAACCTTGATACATGAGATAAATCAGTGATTCTTTCTATTGACCTTCATTTCCATGACCAAAGGGGAAAAGGACATTGAGATATGCTGATGATTAAGGGCAGCTCTAGGCTGGTTTAGCTGGAAGGGACACACTCACTTGAGACAACTAGTAGCTACTGGGAATCCTGAATCTTGAAAGAGTTTATATAAGACAGCAAAGGCTCACTTGCACTATTTTTAGCCATTAAATGTTTCGTTTTATGATATTCATTTTATTTTGGGCATAACACTCACAGACTACCATCATACTGAACATTGTTCTTGACATACTGTAGGTGAATTCAGGTAAACTGGGAGACGTTTTGCCATTGAGATGACTGAGACAAATATGTCCCAATTTACCTAAATTCACCTTATATGACACCTATAAATCACACTATATCTTGTTTTTTAAAACAGAATTTAAGAAGATAGACAGCCATGTATACAGGAAAACTAGGCTATATTGCAATAAATTCAAAGTGCTAATGAAAATGTAGTACAGTCAAAATTGGTATATACACTACCAATCAAAACTAGGACCAAGCATTTATTTAAAATAATATAGGGAAATACTATTATAATTTGAAAATGACTATTTTCTATTTTAATATATTTTAAAATAGATATATATATCCCTGTGATTGCAAAGCTTCAGTCTTCAGTGTCAGATGATATTTCAAAAATCATTCTAATGTGCTGTTTTGCCGCTCAAGAAATATTTCTTATTATCATCAATGTAAAAAAAATGATAATAATAAACACCTGTGCTGCTTAATATTTTTATGGAACCATGATACTTTTCCAGGATTCTTTGATGAATAGTAAGTAAAAAAAGAAAGAAAGAAGAAAGAAAAAAATCATTATGTGTGAACGGTACTGTAAATCTCTATATCTCGCTAACAGCAATGAATATATAATATATACATACGCGCGTGTGTGTATTGAACCAAAGGATAGCATAACAAATGGCTGTGCACAGTTATTGACACAGTTCATCACAGTTTATATGCAGCTGAAAGCTAATAAATGCACATTCTGAGCAATGTGACATGGTAGCTTTCTCATTTCACCATGTCTAATGTATTCAGACCCAATCACTCTGACAGTCCACCTGAGAGCTGACTCAACTTCATACGCCTGCAACACCCACAGGCCTGCTGCTCGCACAGAGGAACTTAAGTCCATTTACTCAGTTTTTCTCACTGTGCCTCCTCTATTCTTCTCGTCCATCTTTCTTTTTTTTTTTGGCTCTCTCTCTTTGCCCCTTCATTTTCTTCTTCAATGTCCGCATCACTGGCTGCCTGCTGGGAGGGGTGTTGAGAAAGTTAATTTTAGTGTTGGCCTTATATGCTATGCTTGGCCTGTCTCAGTCAGCACCTGCCCCATCTTTGATACGGGGTGACAGTAAATAAATGCACATTCTGAGCAATGTGACATGGTAGCTTTCTCATTTCACCATGTCTAATGTATACAGACCCAATCACTCTGACAGTCCACCTGAGAGCTGACTCAACTTCATACGCCTGCAACACCCACAGGCCTGCTGCTCGCACAGAGGAACTTAAGTCCATTTACTCAGTTTTTCTCACTGTGCCTCCTCTATTCTTCTCGTCCATCTTTCTTTTTTTTTTTTGGCTCTCTCTCTTTGCCCCTTCATTTTCTTCTTCAATGTCCGCATCACTGGCTGCCTGCTGGGAGGGGTGTTGAGAAAGTTAATTTTAGTGTTGGCCTTATATGCTATGCTTGGCCTGTCTCAGTCAGCACCTGCCCCATCTTTGATACGGGGTGACAGTCTGCCGGATTCATCTGCCCAGGAGCTGTCAGTCAAACGGCCAGTCATGGGCATTGTAGTCAACACAGACACCCCAGAGCTCCAGGCTAACCAGAGCCAGATCACACATGACAAATTACGAGGAGACCCTCATTCATTTTTCTCATAATAAGTTAGTGATTATATTGTCTGTCATAGAGACATGTGATGTGTGAATAGAACTGAATGGGCAAGTGGTGAACCGAGCCAAATTTCACTGGTAAAAAGACAATAAAGCTATGATTTCCCTTACAAATGAATGTTACTTGTTGTTTTATCTAAAAATTGTTTTATTTTTATAATTTTTTTCCCTTGGTAAACTAAAAAAAGCAGACTGAATCAGGGTTACAGTGTGTTTATTGATAAATGGAGGACGTCATTGATTTCCTGAGAGCTGCACACAGGTAGAGTAAATAATAAATATATTTTTGTATAATTTAAGTTTGATATTTTTTTCAGGTGATTCAGAGGGTATTAAAACTTTATATTTTATTACATATGGCACTAGGAAGGAAATTATTTCTAATATACATACCTGCAGTGGTAATTGAGTAATTTTTAATTTTGCTGAAAGCTGCTGAATATTTTAGTGTCAGCACATCTTGACTCCTCTCAGGAACTAAAAGCTTTTTGACTGATCGTGAACTCAGGAAAACTAAAAGAGAAGAAGATAATATTTCTACGCAGAACTTTACTTATTCATTTATGTCACTTTATCACATAATTTCCCCCTAATTATTACACAGCTCTCCGAAATACTTGATTCTGACTGGTCAAGCACTCAGTTGTTTGTTCATTTGTTATATTAACAAGCAGGGAAATACACAATATTGTCAGTTGGTTATTATAGCAAATGAAACTTAGACAGGATCTTGAAGGATACAAGTCCTGATCCTGAGATCCTCCTGTCAGGGTTTATTTTGCGATAATGCCCGGCTGACTGTACATTATCCCTTACATAAACTTACTTATTCTCACTCTGCTGAATAATATTCCTGTGAATCAGGGGCCTGCAGAGATGTGTTGACTGAAGTGAAATTGTGTTTGTCAGACTAGCGCTGTCACTTGTTTGAGAAGTGAAACAAGATGTGCAAATGTTCCTTTAAGGGGAAATGGATGACTTTGTTTTAGGTAGGCCTATTTATGAATATTGATAGAGCATCCTCTGGCACAAAACTGGTTGAATCACATGTTTTGGGAAAATAACAGCACAATTAGCTGTTCTGTGTCATTGTCTGCATATTCTGAATCTTTATCATTGTCTTTTATCAGAGAGAGAGGAATTCTGAATGAGTAATAAACAGAAGATACGTTTTTTTTCTTCTTTTGCCTGATCATTGTTACTAAATAAAGAAAAAACTCTTTGGTGTTGATGAGAACTCAGATAATTTCTCATCAACATCAAAAGCAAAATCACAAAGCCCTCTGAAATTTTAGAAGTTCTCTCATCCACAAATTTCCTTGGCCAGAAAAAAGAAAGCATGAACAAAGCCTTTGTTGTATACATCTGGAAATATGAGATATAGAAGTAACATTATTGAATAGCATTTCTGACAAAAAACACCACAGATTTGACTGTTGTTGTGGGAAAGTTGAAATACTAAAATGAATTATTTTCTCAGGCTGTATGTATATTTGAAGTACACAGAAACAACGTCAAACCATGAACACTTAAAGTAACGTTTTTAATTGTAATTACACTGTACAATGTGAAATAATTGTTTGATTTGACATCTTTAAAGGGCCAGTTTACACAAAAATTTGGATTCTGTGAATACTTACTCACCCTCATTTTGTTCCAAATCTGCATGTTTTTCTTTCCTCTGTGGAACATGAAAGAAGATATTGAAAAAAAACTGGGAACCAAACAATATTGGAGGCCATTGATTTCCATTGTGTAGATATTGTTCCCAAAATACAGAGTTCTGGCATGAAACTCTAGAGGGCGCTGTTCGATAGGTCTAACTTAATCTGACCTAATGACATCATTATCACATGGCACAGCTGACTGGTTCTCTCCTGTATCGGTAGCCAATGAGCTCGCTGCTCAACATTCAAATAGATGACTAGTGCTTGCCATAGCAGTTGCAGCTTGCTTCAGAAACCCTCCACCTTCTCCAGCTCCACCTGTATAGATCTGCTACGAGGTGATTTGTGTATGCTATATGGGGGTTATTCATGTATGTTATATTTGCAGCAGCAATATTTCTTACATGCTCACAGCAGCATGTTGTGGATGTATTGGCAAGTAGCAAGTCTCTGTACTTGCTCTGCCGCAGCAGCAGCCGCAGAGTAGCAGATCTATTCCGCCAAGACCAAATACATTAACATTGTCATGTACGTTACCATGCCAATCCCTCCGAGAGTTGTCATGACAGAAATATATTTTTTGGTGTTCCACAGAAAAAAGAAAGCCATAAAGTTTTGGAACAATACAAAGATGAGTAAATAATGACCAATGTTTATTTTTGGGTGAACAATTCCTTTAAATGTAAGTCATAAAAAGAGCTGAAAAATATGTTCTTACTCTTCTAAACAATCGACAAGCTAAAACTAAGAAACAATTTGATAGCTCAGTATGTAATGTCCATAATAAGGATTTTTTTATTGAATATTTCTAAGTTTCTAGTTGAAAGTGTTTGTTACATTCTTTGCAGAATCGAGTATTATAGCTACGCACTGGAAGTTGCACAAACAACATTTAAATAGAGCTTTAAAAGTCCATGAATATCCTTATCTGAGGCCAAGTTTGAGTTTAATCATGATTGTTTTACAAATGGAGGAGTGTAATGCTGACTGACATCCCTAGAGGCACTCATCTTTTGACTGAAATATATAAAAGCCATTATTTCACAGCAATACTACGACAATTACAGATCAGTGTAACTGCAGAATCAAAGTTTTCCTCTCACCTCCAGAGCTGGTTGGTTTTGTTCATGTCTTTGACAACTCATTATTTAAGTTTTTTTTAGGGATAAAAATAATGGAAAAACTAGTTCCTGGAAGAAATGCTGCTGAAAAGTGGGCAAACACTGTGGCATAGTCATTATTTACCTTGTTGTTCTTAGGTGAAGCCTGAGGGTCTGTCATCCAAGCTCCAAACCTCGTTCCTGATGTCTTTACAGTGATGGGCCCCGTGATTTTCATCAACTTACCACAGGCTGACACAATGAAGAATGACAAGTAATGTCAGCTATTATATAAGCATGCCAACACATCTTGAACTTTGAAGGAACACATAACATACTGTATCACACAAGAAAATACCATGAAGGTCATGTTGAGTTCAACTCACTGAGCTTGTTCATACAGTTCCTCAGTCTTCCCTCTAAGCCGAGGACCCTTTGCTGGAGCTCCTCATAATCATACGCTCCTATCTCCTCCTGGATAGCAGTCAGCACCAGAGACAGGTTCCTGATCTCCTCCTTGAACTGGGAAATGAGTGTGGCGTCAGTCTTGTACTGCTCCAGCACTGGAATCAGCGGCTGCAGTTCGTTCATCTTCCCCTTCAGCTCCTGCAAAACCAGACAGACATTTAAATAAAAATCGCATGAGGGGAGATTTGCTTACATTAACAGAAGCAGATGCAAGAGCACGGCACTGCTTTTCCGGTTAACAGCAAGACTCTCTGAACAATGACATGTTAGACCAAAATGATATTACGGGTTGGAAATAAAACATGACCTTCAGAGGTTTACAGGATTTCCAGGAATACTGAACTGAGTGTGGTCTTTTCAAACGTTTGTGAAGGATAAAGACGAGAAGCTTTTAAGTGGGATTTGATTCTTCATTCTTGGAGAGTAATAGCAAGAATGTGGCTCTTTCAAACCGTTCTGTTCGTATGTGAAAGGAGCATTGATTTTCTCTGAGGCATGACTTTAATGGTAGCCCACCTGAAAGTTTTTAGTCAATAATGTTCTTCGGTTCGACTCGATTTGTCTGAACTTTGATCGGAGTCCTTTCATCTGGCTCTCCATTTTCATGACATACTGGAAGTCCCTCTGGGTCCTCAGGTTCAGCACTTCGATTGATTGCGACATGTTCTGAATCTTAAGAGAGGAAGATGGGCCGAAATGAAGTTAGGATCCATTAATCATACTCTGAACTGCAAAAAGGAAGATAGATAGATTTAAACGATATTTTCAACTGGAGTAAATCAGCTCTGACACCATGTCTCCAAGGATTTCTGCATTTCCATAATTCCACTTAACGCAACCCAAGCAAAGACGGAAAGATCTTAGAGACATACCACAGCTGACACATTTAAAACAGGACAAAAAAATGAGACTATGAATCGGTTAACCCTATTACTTCCTTCACTAGCATCCACCAAACAAAGAAAGACACAAATGGGCCGATAACTATTGCAGAATTTTTACAGTAACAGAGAAGAAAAGCGTAGGAAGTAGAAACAAGAGGGGGCCTAAAACACCCTTCAGGCCTTTTTGCATTACCGTCATCTTTATGCTCCTCCACAATCATCTGCAGAGAAGCCCGTGGCATTCTTAATAGATGACAATGGCTCGAGCATAATGCTTTCAAATTGCTAAAATGAGAGCTTTTGTTATCTAAACCAGATCTCAATATAAACCGACTTTAGAGTTCTCAGACACACATTATGTGCACACACACCTTCTCCAGAAGCTGGCGGAGCTGTCTGCTCTTTGCATCTCTGGAGCACAAGTTCTGTTCTGGTGCCACCACCGTACAGATGCAGCGGCCGTCGGCATCCTGCGCTGAACTGTACACCTGCCAGCCTTCCTTTGGTCTGATGGTCTGTACACAAATACACACAGGCATGCATGGCATATCTTGGTGTCTTTTGTTTACAATTTAAAATTCTAAATGACATTCTTAATGCAATGGACTTTAATGACATATAATGCGACATAATCTGATTTTCATGCCTCAAGCATGCTTTAAGCAGCAGAGTGATACTGAAATGTGGATATTTCGTGAGAACTACAATAAACTTGCATGGCACATTATTCATTTTATTATGCTTTTTCAGTTTCTAACTTATTACAATTGTTATATGGAGAGATGATTGAGTAAATATGCATATCATTTGTTTTGTGTGTAAATCTGGGGAGTCTATGTTTTTGATACAATTAATAGCCACAAGCATGGCTCTCATTTATTATGTCCAGCTATCCGGGTAAAATTATTTTAAAGAAATAGTTAACCCCAAACTTTTACTGAAAATGTACAGTGAGTAAATCAGGCCATCCATTCATCAGAAAAGATTTGGAGAAATGTAGCCTTACATCACTAGTTCACCAATGGATCCTCTGTAGTGAATGGGTGCCGTCAGAATCAGAGTTCAAACAGCTGATGAAAACATCACAATAATCCACAAGACTTGAGTCCATCAATTAAAGTCATGTTAACTGAGAAGCTGTGTGTTTGTAAGACACAAATCAAAAAAAGACATTTTAAACTTCAAACTGCTGCTTCTGGTTAAATGCACGATATTGATTTCTCCAGAGAAAAAGTCATCTCAGCTGAATCAGGAGAGAAATATACATAGAACAAGCACAGTTTGCAAACATAAACAGCTCAAACCAGTAATTAAACAAACATGTTGGTGGATTTTGCGTGTACAACAGAAGATTCACTTTTTCACTGGAGGAAATATTATTATGGATTATGGATTAAGTAAAAAACACCTTAACAATAAATAATGGATGCAGCTTTTTGCTTCACACATTAATTGTTGGACTGGACTCCAGTGAGTGATGTGATGTTTTTATCAGCTGTTTGAACTCTGATTCTGACGGCACCCATTCACTGCAGAGGATCCATTGGTGAGCAAGTGATGCAATGCTAAATTTCTCCAAATCTGTTCTGATAAAGGAACAAACTCATCTACATCTTGAGATGACCTGAGGGTGAGTACATTTTCAGCAAACTTTCATTTTTGGGTGAAATATTCCTTTAACTCTTTGTCTCTGACTCTATAAGACTCTATATGGCTTCATTTGAAATCATATAATAAAATCACAGGAGAAATATCATGCAGTTACTGTGTATTCCACTGAATATTCATTTCAATTCACACTGATTGATCAGAATTCTGAAAGCAATTCAAGCACACGCCACTAAAACATGGCAGGCCATAAATAGCATGATTTGATGACAAATAGCACCCCGTCGCAGCACCTTAATGATAAAGCCTCTCTCTGCATTCATCCCCCAAAATTTCCCTAGATTGTCTGCAACAATAGAGGCGCTTTGTAAACACCCACATTCATTTTTTTCCACTCTCGCAGCGGGCTCTGAAAGGCCGGCTCTGGGGACTAGCCTTTTACAGGCGAGCTGAAAAAGAGAGTTCTTTACACACTCTGGCACACTTCCTGATGCTGCTGCAACTAACAACTAACTGCAATTTCAGCAAATTGTAACATATCCAAGTTGGATGGGTACTTCCTGCTAGTTTACTGCCATTATGAAATATGAGCAGAGGGATTCTGCTCCTCAAATAAGACCTGCAGCTGGGTTTATTAAGACTGGATGAGAGATCCTCATGACACTTTCACTGATACTACGGATTTCTTTTATTTCCGGTCACAAATTGCATGAAATTCATGCAGTTATTTGGGTGTCACATGACAAATAATTGGCCGTGCCTCAACGATGCAGATCTGATCTTGACCCAGTGCTAAAATAGACCCATTAGGGATTGTGTACAGATTAATAGTAGTGCTGAGAATAGACTCCGAACACTGAGGAAGAAAAAACATTTGCTAATTTAAACATTTTATCACTGCCATATACTGTAGATTACTAATGAACTCTCAATTTAACAAAATACATTAATACTATATTAGTATAACAATACTTTAAATTAGGTAAACATTGAGTTAAAATGTATTGCAATGTCCATTTTGTGTACATAAAGTACTACTGCATGTAATTATAAGTTACTCCTACTCTAGTAAACATCCATCTTAATTGGTTTTACAGTGTAAACCATAATATATTCTAGTATTATAGTTGTAACAGATTGGAGAAATGAAACAGTGTGGAGAAAATGCAAATCTCATGATAATTTCAACACAACATGTACATGAACATGTACACAATACACTGTATCACATGCTTTATATTTTAATGCAATTATATGTAACATTTAACGAAACACTAGACACTTTATGTAAAATGTGAAATAAACCCATTCAAAGCCAATTCTCAATACAGACGGATGTTTACAACAGCAGAAATAATGCACAATAGACGTTAACAATTTAATGAACAATAGCACATTCGCTATAATAAAAAGGTCTAAAAATATTATTTGTGACCATTTGTACTGCAATCATAGAGGAAGTTATAGAAAATGACTTTTCCGCTTCTGAATCACATTTTTAAAGTATCCCAAATCTATCAGGATTTTAACCCAGCTTAGGTTTTACTGCATGTCTTTTCTCTTTCTCTCCGAGTTTGCCATTAAAAGGATATTATCGCATAAGTAGAGCTCACTAAACACATTGCTTTCGTTTATCACTTTGCAGATATCCCGTTCCTATGACTCAGACATGTCAAGTTTGTGTCAGGAAGTCAGGAAGGTGCGCAGCACTCACCGCGGAAGGGCAGTAGCCGAGCAGAGCGAGAAAACACAGCGGTTTCAGCACCACGAACAGCGCCCGCATTCTGCCTCCAGTCTCCCTCCCACGTCTCTCTTCCAACTTGCTTCACTCTTCGATGTTTCAGATCGAGCTTCTTGTCAGTATCTTGGGATCGGACACCCTAGATAGAGCCGCTGAAAGTGCGTGCGCTGTCATCGTCGCTCCGGGCGCAGAAAAGTTTGAGAGATGTGTGGAGACACTCAGCGGATATTACATCATTAGAGCATGTCTGTGCGGGGTTACTCATTCATTACCCGACCTAAAATATATCAAGTTGCCAAGAGTAACTTAAAGAGATAAAATCACGACTTTTATATCTGTACAATGTCAATAAAGATGAAACATAATCAAAATGTCCATTCGATAGGGATAGCAATCGTAAAGAATCGAACGATTCTGTTTCCTAAAAAAATACAATTAAAGATTATTTGAGCAATTTAGAAGAAAATCTTTTTGGAATTAAGAACTGCGATTCAATTGAATCTTTTTAACGTGACTTAAATGTAATAAAATCGGTCATAACTAAGTTATGAAACAAAAAGGTGGTAACATTCATTCATTTTTTTTAAACCACCAGTGATTACAGCAAAACACACCATGTGTATCTTTCGTTCCACATTGTTATGTGAACAACCATTCAGTAACTTACAAGGCTATACCAATTTCGGCTTTATTTCCAGTAACAAATAACTAATATGCCTATCTTGTGGTCTATTAAGTGACTCAGATTCAGAATTCAGTAATTGCCCAACTAAAGGTTCACACTAAGAACAATAATTATTAGGGTAATAACTATTAAGTTTTAATAGTGGTTGTAATTCTATGAGAATGCGGAAGTCCCCCCCACACGTCTTGGTTCAGTGGCGTCTATTCACCAAAAGCCAAGGTATGGCGAACTTCAATAACGTCATCAAATTCCTTCAACGTGACAATAACTGTGTGTGGTGCGTCCAAAGATGAATCACATACAGCCTAGCTTTGCTCATTACACAGCAAATGGGAATAAACCACTTTAAAGTACTATGGCTACTTTTCATGGAAGTTCCAGCAGCCACATTTTCCCCCCAACACTTTAAGCTCAAAAGACTGAATATTATCCTATTTTCAATGTGATGACCAAAACCCATTTTTTAGTTAATCCTTCAAAGGCTAAAATTTTCAGGATGTAAAACTAACACTTTTATTTTAAAATTATAAAGATGTAATATTACCAATACAACCAGTAGATTTTTAAATAACATTAAAAATCTATTTTTGTCACTTTTTGTTCTGAAGTATGAAGTATATTAGGAAAGGACACAAAGTATCAAGAAAAACTTTTTTTTCTCAAATTGTGAATGAAATGAGACAGCGAGAGAAGAGCGCTTTCTTTATAATAACTGAAGCTGTCAGTCAGTTCAGTGCAAACTCACTGAGTGCGAAAACTGCTAATCAATGTGACTAAACTCCACAATTAAACTTTCATATACATCGTATATCCACTTGGTTATAATGAGTTAAAACCTATATCCAGCCTTTTCAGAGATAGGCTACTTAGCAGCTGATGAACGATAAAAACACTGACAGACAATAAAAGTCCATTCTTATTTGGGGAGCTTGAGCATTTAAATCTGCAGCAGTGCATGCTTATAATAAACAGAACATTTAGAAACATTAAGTCTAGAAAACTTAAAAAAATCCAAATTATGTATTTTGAAATATGAATATAAATAAAAAAGGTAAAAATACGGTTGCATGACATTTCTATTTTATTGTGTATTAATGTACAGCACTATAATAGTAGGAAAGGTAAACTGAAGGTAGCCTAATATAAAATGTCGCCTCACAATTGCTGTATACAATATTAACCAGGAAAACAAGCATATAATATACAGACATGCATATGCTAAAATTGCCTCATCAGAAGTTGGAGCATAAACTTCACTGTGCCTCTGCTCACATTCTCAATTAGTTGCTTGGCAACATGTGTGGTTAGTCTGTCCTTTTTTTAGAGGTAGGCTTCTGTCTTTATCTGCTTCTTTATCAAAAGAGAAAGCCTTTTTTACCAGTTTACAGTCAATGTCAGTGAAATCACACTCATTTAGAGAGATTACTGAACAATTAAAAATAAGTTGGCTTTGAATGATGCAAGCAGTCATTTTAATACAGTAATGCTTCACTGAAACCTGACGGCACCAGCTGGGGCCAGAAACAAATGCCGGGATAAGCAGGGCATCTCTGTATTCATAGGTATCATGTTAGGTATCCATTTGATGTTTGGTTTAATTAACTTAGTGGCATGTAATGGCAAGTTTTACCCAAGTGCAGCAATAATACACATCAAAGTCCCTTTAAATGGTTATTATTGTATAGACAAGGACATATGAATATACTTTAAAAACCCGCTCTCCTTTATTGCAGAAGCTGCAGGAGTCACCTTGGTCTTTCCAGGAGGTGCCCACCACCCCGAGCACACATCAATCTAGCTATGTTTCAAAGCTCAAAGCAGCTGCAGACAGACATCTCAGAGACTGTCTTCAGACCGCAAGCCAACATATGTCAACGAGTATAGAAAGAGAGAGAGAGAGAGATAAATCAATAACATGCCCTAAGCAGTTATCTTTCTCATTATTCTATGCATATACACACAGGCAGATTTTTTACATTTGGATAGAAGAAAGGATGAAATGTGAACTAGAAAAAAGTTTATCATTATTGCTAAATAAACCTTGTCAGAGAAAGTTTTATTTTGCATAAGGTACGGTTGACTGTACATTATCCCTCTTACACAGCTACTCATCAAATAAATATATAAAAACATGAAATATTGATCTTGAAATTATATATTAGGCCTGTCTTAAAGCTTTCCTTAATAAGCTACAATGTACAAAAACGTACTATCTGTACCTTCTGGATCCTCTGCAGTGAATGGGTGCCGTCAGAATGAGAGTCCACACATCTGATAAAAACATCACAATAATCCACACAACTCCAGTCCATCAATTAACGTCTAGTGAAGTGTAAAGCTGCATGTTTGTAAGAAACACATACATCACGTCCATAATCTAATAACGCTTTCTCCAGTGAAAAAGTCTATCCCCGTTGTCCTCTAACATCAAAATCTACTGACATAACCGTTTTCACTTGTAAACAGTGTTTGATCTGTACCTATTTCTTTTTTGATTCAGACTGGAGAAAGCAATATTATGGATAGAGAGGACTCACGTTTTAGCCAGAAGTGATCGTTTAAAGTTAAAAACATCTTAATGATAGATTTATTTCTTACAAACCTGCAGCTTTACACTTCACATTTGCAATTACTGATGGACTGGAGTTATGTGGATTGCTTGTGGATTATTGTGATGTTTTAACAGCTGTTTCATTAGCGAGTAGGCACGTGCACAGGTAGGGGCTCAACCTGTGCAGAGCACGCCCTTTTTGTCCTTACACTCCGAAGTGCCCTTTTTTGTTGTTTTGTTCTTCTTCAATAATCAATGCTACTGGTCACCCTTTACGTCTGTCTGTCTGTCTGTTTTACAAGTATATTTAGCGAATGAAAGGTATTAAAAAGAGTTTGTGACTCAATCTGGTTGGATCCGCTCAAACTGTCAGTCAGACCTCATAACTCCACCCTCTGTCTTGACTGACTGAGTGCAGTGAACTGAAGTTCCACAGCAGAGCAGCTGAAAGTCTTGCAAGGGTAAATATATATCTTCTTGTTTGTATAAGTACAGTGTTGTCTTTACGCAAGAAACACTAGTATGTCTACTGTATGAAGGCTAATGTTTTATGCATTTGAGGTCTGAGACCGGACCTGCGGAGAGAGGGCATTTGCCATCTAAATTAGTCTTACTGATGGACTGGAGTTATGTGGATTGCTTGTGGATTATTGTGATGTTTTTAACAGCTGTTTCATTAGCGAGTAGGCACGTGCACAGGTAGGGGCTCAACCTGTGCAGAGCACGCCCTTTTTGTCCTTACACTCCGAAGTGCCCTTTTTTTTTGTTTTGTTCTTCTTCAATAATCAATGCTATTGGTCACCCTTTACGTCTGTCTGTCTGTCTGTTTTACAAGTATATTTAGCGAATGAAAGGTATTAAAAAGAGTTTGTGACTCAATCTGGTTGGATCCGCTCAAACTGTCAGTCAGACCTCATAACTCCACCCTCTGTCTTGACTGACTGAGTGCAGTGAACTGAAGTTCCACAGCAGAGCAGCTGAAAGTCTTGCAAGGGTAAATATATATCTTCTTGTTTGTATAAGTACAGTGTTGTCTTTACGCAAGAAACACTAGTATGTCTACTGTATGAAGGCTAATGTTTTATGCATTTGAGGTCTGAGACCGGACCTGCGGAGAGAGGGCATTTGCCATCTAAATTAGTCATAGCCAATAGCTTACACTTAAATAGCCTGTGCATACAGTAGCATTTCATCTTTTATAAAATGACATTTTGGCCAAACGTATTTTACAACAGGAAAAACTGAGCGCCCATATACAACAAACTTTGTAACCTGTTGATCAAAACGTAATGTGATGCTGCCGTTTTAACGATGGACAATTGCACATTTGCACACATTCGCTGGTAAAAAACCTGGCCATAACTGCATTTGAGTTTGACACAAAGCGACTGAGTGTTTCTCGTCAGCTAGGTAAAATATATTTCTTCTTTGATTTATGATGGCTATCTGCTGATACACTTAATTTGTTAACATTTAATCATATTATATATGGTCACACTCACAGCATGGTTAATGTTTACGATGTTAATATGCATGTATTTGCTAGCTAGCTACTTTTTCAATGTAGCATTCTATACTCTCCGCTTATCATTAAGATGTGACCAGTAAAAAAGGGGGGGTGCCCTTTTTCAGTTTCAGCACATGCCCCTCAAAAGGTCTGTGCACGGCCCTGTTAGTGAGCGAGGGATGTTGAGCTCCATTTCTCCAAATCTGTTCCGATGAAACTAACTGACATCTTGGATGGCCTGAGGGTGACTACATTTTCAGCAAATTTTCATTTTTGGGTGAAATATTCCTTTAAAACCCTGAAAGGCATTGACTGAGACAATAGATGGCACCAGTTGTGTTTGTATGAAACAAGAGGGAGCGAGAAGTTTGTGGTGTGAGATGAGAGACATGTAAGTAGTGCCGGTTTCAGTTACCCAGATCAGTGTTCATTTGGACAACTGTGATA